AATTTGCCGCGTGCTCACGTGAAGTGTTTAACATATCGATATCCAACAACTGATGCAGCAGTATTGCATTAGTTTTTCATGAATTCTTTCATGTCACATTCTTTGTAAATTTTGGGCGTTATTCTTAGAAGTAGCTCTCTATTTCGTCTCATACTAGATCCATGCGGCAGTAATCCTTGTGTCCATGGGGTGCCACTCTAGGCCTAATGGCGGATACAGGTGCCAGTGTAAACACGGGTACAGTGGAAACAAATGTGAAATAGAACCAGGTACGTATGTTTTGATCTCTTATCAATGGGTTCGCAGTTAGTGTAGTGGAACACTGCAAGCAGTTTTTGTGCAAGACTAGCTCAAAACTGGCATAAAGGGCCAGGCTGTTCACCGCTATCAAGCCCTCCCTATATCGCTTAGTGTTTAAAGACCTTTTGCAGGGTGATGAATGCTGTTCTGTTGCGCAGGGAGTTTTGTTCAGATGCGCTGTTGAAGTCTCTTCAGATCTCCTGTCTGATTTTGTGGTGATCAATTTTTTCCACTGCATGGGGAATGATTACAAGCGGTCGTGGAGTTCATCGCATCACAGACTGAAAATTGATCTCTGAAAATTGACTGATACCGCAACCTTTGCATAAGAAAACTCAGGTGCAAAATCCAGTGACACTGTATATTTATTGTCTCTTTCGCGTGACGTCTTTGAAAATGTCTTTCTATATAATGAGCTCCGAATTCCAAAAATGTTAAATACATTACAGTTAGTGCTACCCAGTTTACTCGTAGACACATGAAATGGTACAATATCAAAGGTGAAATTATGAAACAAGACGGCGAAAAAAACTTTTTTTAGATCAAAAATTCATCCTAAAATTCATGTTTAGGTTCACCTCAGTTCCCTTACTAAGTTTTTCGATAATCTTGAGAACTCCAGACTGAGACCACCGTGAAAATTCAGAAAAAAAGTCTCCAAGTGGTTATAATTTTGATTTCCCAGTAAAACATCGATCGAGGTCATAATCGACCTAGGCACCCCCAAGTGTCTCTGTTTTCTCACAGA